GGGCTGTATATTTCTTATTCTTTGTTCTTCTATACCACCCCACATATTTGGCAGTAGATTCTCCTGTCAGCAGATGGAGACAGAAAATATGAACTTCTGAGTTACAACATCCCTTTATGACTTGCCATCTCAGACTCCTCCTCACTTTGCTGTTTCCAGCAGGTGGGATAGCTACCAAGCTACCTCACTGACAGGGCCTAGAAAAGGGAGAGGATGTTTTCATCACTGCTAAGTAGAAACAGGAATAACATGCTTCCCAATTCAGTTTTAAGTGTGCACCCGGTCTAGTTATACAGTCCTAGAAAAAGGATATCCAAATCCTCCTCATGTTGTCCTAGTCATCCATATTCCCTCCGATTGTGATGGCACCAGAAAAATACTGGCAGGTCTGGCAGACTTTCTACTTGCTTTTGGTGTACACAATGGCAAATTTTGGGCTCAGTACAGTGACCTGCACAGTGTACAATGGCTTGCACAACATGGAAATTAGAATTAAAGTGTAACTTACTCATATTTTAAACGTGCAGTCCACAAAAGCAGTGCATATTGATTATCTGTGTGGCCCATAATCAAATACTTGTTTGCACCCCTCTTCATGTGAATTAGGGAAACCACTCTAAAGCTATTGATAAGATTAAACTAACAAGACCTAGTACGTGAATTTTATTTGAACTAACACTGAGCTAAGCATCCCTAATTTAAATACTGTAAAAAGTTGCTTGACTATAAAACGTTGCTGGGCCAATTGATATGAGAAGTCTGTCATTGTTTGTAATATGTTGAGAGTTCAAATAAAGGTCACTGGGACCAGATGTATAGTATAGTAGAAGATAAATCAGTATGGAATTGATTAAGATCTTAGGAAAAAACAAGGGATTATAATAAGTAAACTGCAGTTGGTGATTTACTTCAGTATACATATTGATCTTAACAGGAAGATTTACTGAGTTCTGGGAGAAATACTAACATATCTGGATCCCTCTCCTTTATGTTCTGATTTCATTTTTCTCAGACTTGCAGAATGTTGAAGGAGGAGAAGTTCTTGATTCTTGAACTGTTTGTGTGGGTGTTTAAACTATAAAATGACTACTACGTGTATTGGGAAGCTCAGACTTATGAGGTGTAATGGATGTGATGGGATGTTTTGCATTTCATCTGAGTCAAGCTCTCTGTTATGCTTCACTGCTAATTCAGGTCATGTTCTATGCATGAGAGACACATCTTCCCATCAGAAAACCCCTTAATCTCGGGGAAAGTGCACAGGGCCAGGAACTAGGAGACTGAGTTAAAATCTTCCTCTTCTATTCTTGACTACTTATATTTATGTGCATATTATAGCCTCATTATTGAGGAAAGCCTTGTAACCTTACCTTGAGTACCCTGTTTTCTTTATTAAAAAAATAAATAAAACCGCATTGATTTGAATTCACACACTGCAAAAATATCTTTTAAAAACAGGTGTTGCAGTTAAAAAGAAACACTGTTCATTCTGACATGACATGCAAAAAACCAAGAAGTACTCCATATTTTGGTCACTTGTTATATTGATGGCTTGTGTCACATTTGTGTGAAAGTTGGGAGGTATAGTGTGATGTAGTAAAACAATAAACATTTGTATATTCACATCCCTTTATTTATTTGTTCAGGATGGGAAAGTACGTTTGTGATCTATCACACATACTTGCTCATGTCTTTAACTCTGAGTTAAGGTTGCTAGGCTGTGTATATCACCAATGAAACCCTTAACAAGCAAAGAAAAAAGCATTTATATGATAAAGCAGCCCCTCTATATTCCACTCACCAATTCCTCGTCAGCCTCAGTCATCTTCCTTCCACCGTATAGATCTTCACCCTTATACTGGACAACTAACATGCAGCTTTGTTTATAGGTATTCACGTTAATTCAGTGGTTTGTCATAGCTGAGCTCTACTCCCTTCCAAACTGATTTCCCACTCCCACATCTCCTTTCACCTCCATAACCTATCTAGAAGGCCGCTTACAGCCCCTTAGTTCCCAACAAAGCTGCTGCATGATGCGCTGGGTGAACCAACATCGGGAGGGTAGGGCATGAGCAGGCATCGTGGAGAAGAGTGGTGTGATTGGAGATATGGAGTGGATGATTTAAGGAAAGGGTGTGTGGCAGTGGTGGTGGGGCTAGGTGTGGACGCATGGAGCTCTGTGTGAGACCCCAGTGGCTTGGCACTATTGGCACTTGAATATTGGCACTCCCCTGATGCTACCACCCTTCCTTTCTGTGTGTGTGTGTTTTTGTTTTGTTTTGTTTTTTGTTTTGTTAAAATGTTGCCTCTGGTAGTCAAGCTAGCAGTAATAGATAATTTACGTAGCTGACAGAACTTCAGCGAATCTGGGGTATCTCAATTAGTTTGACAAATAAGGGAAAAACTGTGTTTAATTTTAAAATGTGAAGAGTGACTTATGCCCAAGATTATCAGAATGCGTGTGTGAAGGTTAGTTTGTGTAGAGATGAAAATGTCAATACACTGTCTTAAAATATTACATAGAAAATTCATTTGTACTCTGAAGAGTTATTTGTGTCAAATATGGAGATTAAATTCAATCATTAAAGGGATTTTAGTCCTGCATTAAAGTCCCGATTCAGCAGAGAATTGGTGGTTAAATCCATCCTTATTCAGCAGACCATTTAAGCACATGCTGAAATATCAAGCATATGCTTTGCTGAAATGGTGTCTTAATTGCTGAACTGCAGGCATATTCCAGTGTATTCACATTGGGGAAGGAATATATGTTTGGAAATAAATAAATAAATACTTGTTTGAGTGGTTTTGTTCAGTTTAACAAGTTTAGTTGCATTAATAATGTGATCAGAAGTGTGAAGTTATTGCTGTATGGTTCAGAAATTCTTTTATTTAATTGCTTGTGTTATTACAGTTCAGCAAGGCTAGTTTAACAATGTAAATGAAGAATGACAAAAAACATGAATAAAAATAAAATTCAAAATATTTCGTTTTTGATCCATCACACTCTTGCAGTCATTGTTTTTTCCCCCCATCATTTTTTGCTCTCTGATCTAATGAAGATTTGTTTAGAAATATTTTGTAAATGCTTGAATGAATATTAGAGTATTTATTACAGATATGCAACAGTTGGGGTTCTGTAAACATTTCCATAATAAAGTCCTCTGTTTATAGGGGTTTAATAACTTGCTCATAAAAATTTGCTTTGGGCAGAAACATGGTGTACCAGTCTGCCTGAAAGCTTGTGTTTTGTTTATTTAAGAAAAATCAAAAGTTGTCTGTGTTCGTACACTATAGAAATTTTAAACACCCAGTTTAAATCTCAGAATGTGACTGAGCAGCTGTTTCTTCATATTTCTTATATGCATGTCATTATAAACAATTGCTCCATATTATTTATCTGTGCATCCTAACAGCTACTTTAGGAAAACTCAGGTAAATTATACACTTTTAGAACTTGGAAAATGAGAGTTTTCACGCTAGATTGTATCTGGAGCTGTTAAAGTTTTTCAAATACTATGCTTGTTAAAAATTGGTGAAATATACAGTAATTCTGAAACTAAAACTTAACTAATATGTATAATTATTAAGTTCACATACATTCAGGCATCTACATGGTGGTCATAACAGGGCTCCTAAGTGCTGTGGTAATATTAATAATGGTGGTTATTGCGTATTTAATCAGTTCTCATGTACACAACTTTTCTTTTTTCCAATGTATTTCTTTTTAAATTAAGCCACCAGAAACAACAATTAATTAATGCAACTCACCCTGCAGCAGTGGCTCCTGTGTCCCATGGGGCTGAGCCTGGCTATCTGTTTCAGGCATTGTGACCTGATACACAGGATTACCGAACCACTCACTCAAATCTGGCTCTCACAATGCCTCCCCCATATGATGACGGAGGGGCGGCAGGGTCAAGCCTGAGCAAGTGGCACTGCCTGTGCCCAGGGTGAGTGTGGAACAGGCTCTCTCAAACCCCAGGCCCAGCCACAGGGTACACAGGAGCTGCCGATGCCAGGGTGAACATGGGGCAGGCTCACTCTCCAGTCCCCACCTCCACCCCCCTGGGTTTCCTCCCCTCAATGGGCTGGGATTAGAGTTGTGGTCCTGGGGCAAAGAGTGCTGTTCCAGGTGGTGGGTGACCCCCTCATTTGTCAGGGCATTTTTTAATCAAAATCACGGTTCAGGCACTAAACCCATGACTTAGAGTAAATTTACCATGACTGCTCCATGATTTTTGATTAAAAATTACATGTCAGAATTGCAGCCCTAATTATAATTTCGCAATTATTACAGCTTGAAATCAGAATTATTGCATACAGCATCATTTATGTTCATGGCACTTTACAAACAAATTAAAATGACAAGTACCCCAAAGAACTTAAATATTAAGAGTGCGTTAGTGAGGGTTACCACAGTGAAAGATTGTGAGCAATACTTATGTATGCATCTTACTGATTCCTCTTTGGGTTTGTTTTTATTTTAATTAATTTCATATTAAAACTTGGATAGTGTCCAAAAGGAGAGAGTGGAATGACTGTGCAAGAGAAAAAAATGTAAAATACCAAAGGTGCATCCAGTTGCATTTTGTGTGAATATTTCTTTCACCCTTCAGATATATACTACTTTATTAATATATCTTTAGTAGTTTGTGTAAATTACCAACTAGTATAAGAGAGGTGGAGGATTTGATGAGGAGACGTTGGAAACGGTTCTAGAATCTGTTGAACTGAATGAAAACCTGAAGAAATCTCCTTACATTTAACATAGGATTAACAATTTTTATTTGACCAATTTAAGTTGGCCCAAGAATTACTTAGTACTTAATGATACTGGAGGTCTCAGATTTACTGTGTAGAGAATGATTGACCTGTTTCTACTTACTACAGAGATGGAAATTTGCTATTTTGTTACCAGTTATGAACTTTTAGATTTCTGTAATTTCTATAAACAGAGTATGGAGAAGTAATTAATTTTATCTTTTCTGCTACCTTCAAAGGGACATCAGAGATGGCTTAAGAAGAAAAAGCTTCTATCCTTCTCATTATTTGAGAGAGAGATCCCCTCATAAGAGGGACTCTCCTTTCTTCAGGGAATCGCCTGTGAGCCGAAGGGATTCTCCACACAGCAGATCCGGCTCCAGTGTCAGCAGTAGGAGCTACTCCCCTGAAAGAAGCAAAGCCTATTCTTTCCACCAGTCCCAGCATAGCAGAAGTATGTCATCTTTACATAAAAGAAATATTTCTCAGCAAGGTAATGCTGGATTAATGATGAAAACTGATTAGTGAGGCGAAATTGATTCTCATTATATAAGATCTTTCTCTTTATATAATGAAGACATTAGACTTTTTGTTCGGATTATGTTTTGCCTGCCTTATTAAATGTTTCAGGGAGCTCTTTATTCCTTTATGAATATATGTAAAGGTCTCTTGAGGGAGCTTGCAGGTGTTTTTCAATAGCCTCTGTAGGCTGACTGCAGTTCCATCAGCTGCGTGACTTTTCTGTGTACAGCAGATTATTTTCCTTTAGTACCAAATGCTTCTGTTTCTTTCTCCCTTTGCTTCTGTGATGGATCCCTTTACAGGCAGCTTTGCCATGAGCAATTAGGTGAGGGCTTTTCTTTTTGCAACTGAGAAGAAAAGGAAAAATTCTGGTGGGAAAGCCGAATAAAAAGTAAAGATCCTTACATTTTCAAAACCATGATGTTTCATAGAATTGTGCTAACAATGCATATTAGTTCTTTTAGCAATTTAACCCTCTCACTCTGATTCTCTCAAATCTTGCAACCCTCAAATCAATGCAAAACCTTGTGTCTGAAGCTAGGCAATCCAATGTATGGCCTGGATTTCAAAGGGTTGAATGTTCATTTTTTCCAGAAAGGAGATCCATGTCTGTTTCAAAAGTATCCAAAACCTCCATGTATGAAAAACTTGTGAACAAAAGTGGAAGCATGTTTTCTTTCCCCTTGAGGTGCTTATAGCTACGATTGTGCAGATTAGGTGGATTTATGGATTTCTTTTCGTACTCTTTACAAATACTAATGAAATTGTGCAAAATCTGTTGTACACTTTGGCAGTAGTGTTCTTTTTGTTTCTTCTAATTTTAAATCCAGGTTTACTTGTTGTTATACAACATTTACGTTGGATTTTCCAGGGTGTCCATAGCAGGCAGTTATAGCACCTTTCACTCCAAAACATCCCAAAGCATTTAAATAAATATTCATAAACACAGAGGAGTTTCTTCACTCACCACTGAAATACAGACTGCCTCTCAGGCTTTTAACAGTTGCAGCAGGGCTACACAAACGTTTAGAACAGAAAGTAAAGAATAGGACACCCTCCTGAAGCTGCAATAGAGATTTAGGTAAACAGAATGTAATTATCAGGGACGGGAGAAGATTGTCTAAAACTTGGGAAATGTTGTGGGGATTGGGAATTTTCTACAATTGAGCAGATTTTTTGGCACTTCTGCAGCATGTTAACATATTGCTACTCATATATTGAATTCTAATGGAAAAACCTGCTGTCTGGGCTAATAGAAAATTTTACATTTTGAGAGAAATGTTCCAAATTTTCAGGGGGTTTTGTACTTTTTCTGTAATAGAATGTGTTAGTCACTAACTACATGTTTGTTCAGAGATGTCAAGTTGGATGATATAGTGTTATTGTCTCTTTAAAAACACACTGCAGGTGTAATCTGGCAAATAGCTTTACAAAGCAGCGGCTATATTAGTCAAAGTGGGATATCCACACTTAGGTCTGGGCTGTCTTTTATTCCAGAGTTAAATGATGTCTTGTCTATCTCCATTAAACTGTTTTTAAGAAAGCAACTTTGCTTGCACCATGCTACTTTTTCTTAAAAATGGTTTGCATCCTGAAAATTGGTAGTTGCAAGCGTTTGTTTTGATGACTGAGTTAAAATGGTGTACTTGCAGAGTGGAGAGGGCTTCAGTTGTGTTTGTTAGAATTGTGTTTGAATATAATTTGACAGGAAATCTTTGCTTTGGAGAACATGTAAGAAAAAGCCCATCCTGTTACCTTTGTTGTATTTTGAAATATTTAAAGAACCAAAACCTGGCAGGGTCTGCAGATAGGCATCTGCACGCAAAAGACCAGCCAACAGCAGGAATATGAGGCTTTCCCTATTCTTGCTCCCCATAAAGTTGAAGCTGTTCTACAGCGCTTCTATGACATGAGCCAGGGTGCATGGTCAACATGTCAGGTATATGTATATACCTGGCAGTGACCTCTGCGTGCAGGTCTTACCCACTCAGTCCTAGAAACCTGGTCTGGAACATGAATGTCTTCCTATAAATGGTTTGGGGGAATATCCTGTGCCAGTCCTCCATCTCCAGCTATACTGATGCAAATTGGGGATACAAAAAATACACATTTCCTGCATATTATTGTAAATGACAGCGCCACTTGATTTGAAAACTCTTTATAGATAATTCTGTTGAAATGCGGTTGGATAGCTGTTAGTTGGAGTTAGATGAGTTAAAGGGGTTTCTGACCTTCTTCTGTTTGATTTTTATTTTTAATGAATTATTGTCTGCCAAGAAAGTGATATTAATCTGGTAACCTACACATCTGTTTATAGCTCCTATATATATCTATTAGGTTGCTGGTTGTGACTTTATAGTTAAAATTAGGTTCTGAAATAGGCTTAAAATGAGGCATACATTTGTTTTTCTGTCCGTTTAAGTAGCTTTTCAATTTGATACTTCACATGGTTAGTTGTTTTGTTCTTTTAATTTACTATGTAGATTTTATCATTTATAAATTTGGGCCCTTTCTGAAATCTTGTTCTGAAATGTTTTATTGTCAACATGTATTGGTTAAAACAACATTTTCTGTCTGCACAGAATTTGGTAGAGATAGTAATGTTGAGTAGATCTGGTGAATTGGAGGGATGCAGGAGAGAGCCTGAAGGGCAGGGGAATATGAGGTACGGGAGGTTGAGGGGTAAGGGAGGACAGATATGAAAGGCCACATGGAAAACAGGCTAAGGAGGAACAGGAAGGGAGAATGTGAGTGGAGCAGAAAACTGAATGGCATAAAGATGGAAACTTAGAGGGTGTGTGGTGTGAGGCAATCAATAGGGAATTAGAATAGTACTGTGTTGGGAGAGGATGGAGAGAAATTGAATGGTTTTCCTCTCCCAGGTATTAAGAGAAAAATAGAATGGCAGCTCCTTCATCTTAGAGCATAGGAGAGAGTAAGTGGAGTCCCCTCCAAGCCATTGGGGAAATGCTCACATTTGTCTATGCATTTAAGGTTGAATTTTGAACCTGTAATGATCCCTCTCACATTCAGGGTGCGTAGCTTTCCGAAAGGCTGAAAAATCAGAAGGCAGGTATTTTTTAAAAAGTGATTTATTATTTTTCTAGTATCCCTTTTACCAAACTTTCCCATCCAGTTTCACTGAACACCCAGCTGATGTTGTTTAGAGGGTGTAATGTGGTGAAGGGGATGTGCAGACAGAAAGATTCAAGGGTCATTTGGTGAGTTTAAAGGGGGGTAGTTTCGTAAAGGTGGGTAGAGGGGGCCTCTCCACCTGGAGCAGCTTGCAGGATCAGGGCCTTCTTGTGGAGCAAAGTTAAATATATGTATAAAAAAATTACTTGCCTCAATTAGGTATAGTTGAGAGATACAGTAGGCTATTGTTTTGACCTGAGAAAAGCAATAAAGTAGTTATATTAGCAAAAAGAAGGTGATGGCCATTGTCATTGAGAGTAAAATAGTACAGACAAGATAAACAGTTTCTACTGTATGGACAAGTATGGAGGGTATCTTGAAGGGCTATACTGAATGATCAGATAAAATATGAAACTGCTAAAGCAACTGCTTTTTGTATCTTGTTGCAATTGGGGAGCAGCTGTCACTTGCTTGTTTGGTCTTCCTTTTTCCTCAACCAGTTAGGTTGATGTTAAATTCTATCCTTTGTAGCCAGAGTATCCTGAAAATCTGTGGAGACAGAAAAGGGGCAACTTACAAAGGTTTCTTTTTTTAACATTCCAGATCTATTTAAAATATATATTTATTTACATTTCAGTTTCTTAATTCTTTTAGATATTGGTATTTTAAAATGCACAATGGTGGGTGCATTCTTAATTTACATCATCTTGCAACATACAAAGTATGCTCACTAGACATGACCCATTGTGCTATGTATCATTACTTTGGCACTTCAGTTACAGACTTATTTAGTTGTCATTAGTTTTGTTAAAGTAATTCACATCAGGGTTTTTAAAAATATTTAATAAATGAAGGTTACTTTCAATTGATTTCTCTTTCTAATTAAATATATGCCAAGTATTAGTCTACGCTTTTGCCAAGTATTTTGCTGCTGCAGGCTTCCCATAACGGACATTTGGCAAGGTTATTCATGACTGCATTTTGAACAGTAGCTTCTAGTTGTTCCTGTTTTAATTTTGTTGGCATGAACATTGGGAAGTAAGACCCTGATGCTAAAAAGAGATCCCTACCTGTCATTGGGACTTTGTGGGTTTATTGCTTTGCTGGATTTCCTATTATACTGCTAAACCTACCCTTGTGAATACCCGGTTTCCCAAGCTTTGGTTTTGGTCCTATGATTGGTGACTGACCACGATGTTTAACACTGAAAAGATGTAGAATTCCTCATTTCACTTCTTACAGGAATATAGAACAATATCCAACAATCTCAAACTGAAATATTCTTCCAGTTAAATAATGGAAATAAGAAAAATAGGCTTTCTAAGGATAAATGTCAGCTTTATAAAATGCTACTATTCATCTTCTTAGCCAGAGACGATTTTATTTTTGATAAGCAAGTAGAATATCATTAGATTATTATCATCATCAAAGGATGAGGAGATAGGTTTTGTGCATGGCCTGGTGAATTTTCATTACAATTTTGCAAGGCGCGCACACTCCTGTGTGTGTGTGGGGGGTGGGGAGAGAGAACACAACTTGAATAAAATTGTAACTATTCTTTTTTATAGGTAAAGAGAGACCTTCTGCTCAGTCACTGAAAACGTCAAGAGATACATCCCCATCAGGTTCCACAGCAGTACCCTCTTCAAAGGTGAACTATGTTTCTGTTGTTTTTGTTTTTAATAGTGATACTTCCCATGAGAGGATCCAAGTTAAATTCAGATTCCTATCTTCTTGTTTGACAGTCAGAGGCAGTGTGTTTTGCCACTAAGCAAGAAGAATGTTTCATTGTATTCAATGGCTTCTCCTGGAGTAAGAAGAAATGTGGACACGATATTTAGAGTGAACAGGACCTTAAAGAAAATGGCATCCCCCACAGCTTCTGAGTTCACTTTTTAGACAAACAGTTAAGAAAACTTTCCCTTGAAATACTAAAAGCCATGGAAATCCTGAGCAAAAGACTAACTAGTGTTTTTGAAAAAAGGTGTGAAATGCGAAAACGGTTAATTGAAAGGACTGATCAGACTTCTGCAGTGCTCTGCTATTCCTTCACACTTATGCAGTTCTTCATGATTTTCAAACTGGTGTGCTAACATTAACTGATTCTCAACACCCCTCTGGGATATGTGAGTGATAGGCTACATCTACACTATACAGCTTTTAGCGACAGGGCTGTGCCGCTAAAAGACGCGCAGTGTAGCCACTGTTTGTTGGCTCTTCTGCCAACAAAAAACTTCCACCCCCAACGAACGGCGTTTGCATTGTTGGCAGGAAAGCGCTCTTGCCGACAACACGCTGTTCACACTGGCACTTGTTGTGGCAAAACTCTTGTCTTTCGGGGGGGTGAGGGAGGGGGCTGGCTTTAACACCTCTGAAATGGAAAATAATTCAAAAACTAAGTCTTATACTTCATTGTTAAAAAGCTAAATTGTGCTTCCAACACACCACCTAAACGCTGTTTGACTTACTGCCTAATTTTTGGCTATATAGTTTTATATTGTTTATTTATGTACATGTGCATATCAGCACGTGTGCATATTTATATATATAATTTGTTTAGCACATTATTTTTAAAACAGTGGGCCTGTAGGAACAGGTAGGGATAGTGTATTTGTGGTAGTGCTCAGGACCCCATTATACTAGACTCTATACAGACATAACAAAAAGACCATCCCTACCCCAAAGATCTTACAGTATAAGTATATAGCAAGATATATAGAGCTCTGTTTAAGCTAACAAAAATGGACTTAAGGCTTCTTTTAGATGATAAATTCGCCACCTCTGTAGCTAATTTGCCTCCCCAAAAATAACATCTTAGCTTCTTCCTGGGTTTCCACTTACCCTCAGCATTAGCTGGGACTGTGGAATAGGGCATTGTTTACACCCGTGTTGCCTTCCTCTTATAACAAGTCTATAGGAACTAGGCTGTGAAATCTATTTATGTAACAAAACAGATTTATTTTTTTTTAATTATGCAGCCTGTTTGAGAAATGACTTTAGAGTTTTATTTTGCATACTTAAAAAAAAAAGTTTGGCAATATTCACAGCTCTTGAATTAGAACTTCGAAGATTTGTGCTTTACATTCTTTTCTAATTATAAAATAGTATCTAAGTCCTGTTTTTATTAGGAAACTTGACTTGTGTTGGGAAAGTATCAATTAAATGGCAACTCGCACAGATGGCTTCTCTACATGCGGAAAGTTTTTTGGACAGTTAAGGTGATTAGTCAAATGTATAAGTTATAGCATATTAAATCCTGTGTGGATGCTTTCATTCAGAAGGAAAATGGTTTTAAATTTAGTTCACTGTAACTTAATCCTCCTTGGATCTTTTTACTTTTGTGTTACACTTAGTGTACTGGCGATTTCTTTATATATACATTTATTGACTTATGATTAAGGCTACGATTTTGTCATGGATATTTTTAGTTAAAATCATGGACAGGTCACTGGCAAGAAACAAAAAATCACGGAAGCTGTGACTAAAAACATACCTGACAAAATGGAGAGGGAGGAGGGTCCAGCACTCTGCCCCTCCTCTGCCTGCAGCAGCTGTGAGCTGCAGGGACTGGCTGCTTGCGGTAGGGTTACCATACGTCCGGTTTTTCCCAGACATGTCCGGCTTTTTGGTAATCAAACCCCCGTCCGGGGGGAATTGCCAAAAAGCCGAACATGTCTGGGAAAAATACCGGCCGGGCACTTCCCCTCCCGGGCTCCAGCTGCTCTGCTCCGGCAGCGCAGGGTCCAGAGGCAAGGGGGCTGCCCGAAGCCGGTAGCGCTCGGGCAGCTTGGCTCTTAAACAGAGCCGAAGAGTCAGGGGAGGAGCAGAGCAGCTGGAGCCCGGGAGGGGAAGTGCCCGGCCGG